CTTGGTAAGCAAGTATTGAGGGCCTACTGCATGTGCTGGGCGCCAGGATACAAAACACTCAAAACTTTTGTTCTTACAGAGCTGACTTTCCTATGGAGAAAATCATGCTGTAAGGCTTTTCCCATCCAGCATTCACTTCTGATTTTAAAGATTTCTCAAAGATAGGGAGGAGTATATGAGTGTGCCGCCCATTTCAAAAAGCACTGGAAACATAATTTTCTGTTGCAACATCACAGAATAAAATTTGCTTTTCAGTCTCCACAGAACTACTTGCTCGTTGCAACAGGCAGGAATTGCATTCTGCTGCAGTGATGTGGCAATGCTTGTTGGTCCCGCATCTCCCACCAGGTTTGACTCCTCCTACTCCTCCTGGAGCACGGTTGTAGTGCTCCAATTCCTTCAACAGATGCAACAGCAGGAGGTCCTTCACCTTGCAAACAAACAAAATAAATGGCAGTGAGAATTATTCATGAATGTGTCATGACATTAGAAAGCAAACCTTTTGCAAGATGTGGAAGTCCTCTGAAAGCTCGGTGTGACTGTTCTCGAACCCCACCCAGTCACCTCCTGCTACCGGACACTGTCTTCCTTCGGTGCAAAGCTGGCCTCTCCTGGCAATCCAGGCAGCCGTATCATGGGGGCTGAGTCTTGCCTCGAGCTCCAGAAAACCCCTAATACTCACCAGATCTCAGGTTAATCTTTGCATGGTCGTGCTCCTCCAAACTGCAGTAATCCTCCATGATTGACAAAGCCCCTTCAGTTGAGGCCTCCCCACCTGAATGCACAGGCGCTGACCCAGACTTCTCCCAGCCATTCTGATACGTCTGGGCACTTGCTGCCCTTGAGTTCTCCCTGGTCAGCAGGTCGAGGCCCTGAGACCATTAGCATCTGCTCCGCAGGCATCCAGTCCCGTTCTCACGGATTTTCGGAAATTAGACGGAATCTAAGTAAGGGCCACGAAGAGCCTGTGTCCCGAATGCAGTCACAGGAGCAAATTTGCACCCAAGCCCTTGGACCTGGTTGCACTTAGTGCATCAAAGGACATTGGATGCCTACATTCCCTGATTTAGAAATTCTTGGGGTGGGGGGGTGTCAGGAGCCCCTGGGGTAATAAGTCTCACGCTGGGATATCAGGCATCTTCCTCATGCCTCAGCTGTACTCTTACCTGGTACATGGGAAGGATGACATCCCAGGCAAAAGGAAACTGCAAAGTACCCTTTTATTTATTTATTTTTTTAATAAATAATTTTGAAAACCTGCTACGTTAGTGTTGTGATCTAGAGAGAAGGAGACGATGACTTTTCATTTACATAGGAAAGTGAATACAGGTTACAGAGTCTCGAGCTTCATCTTCTGGAAAGATCATAGAACGTGGTGCAAGGTCAGACGGGCATGAAATCAATTGTAATCTGCCAGCAAGCCATTCTTAACCTCTTTAAGAGTTTCCTTTTATATATATTTTTCCCTTTATAGAGAGAGCAAAGTACATTTAAAGAAAGTCTCATCAAATTGGAATGTCTTTCTAATATTATTTTTTTAATTGGTTGCTCCTGCAGTGTGACCCAAAGCCTCCTGGCATTTAACCCTCTGTGTGACTTTGACTAATGAATGAATTGTGTCTGCTATAAGAGTCTTGCTAAATGTCTTTTATAGGGTTTTTAAAAAATTACAGTGTATTATGAAAACCTCCAATCCCTCGACCTAATTGATTGGCTGTTGGTGATGCCATCTCTATAACTGTAATTTTCCGTAAGTGCACAGACCTAACTATTTTTCTTATTTTTATATAGCAGTTCCATTTTATAATGACATTAAGCCCTTCTGAGCGATACATTTCTAGGCAGTTATGGCACTTGGGTAGAAAGTGTCATCTGGCTTGTAGCCTTGTGCCTTACAACACCAGCCGAGGCGTAAAATGATCACCCAGAAAATGTACTGGGCCTTACCTCATTACTTACAAATAAATCTTGGAGTCTGGGTCTATCTCAGAAAAGCTTTGGTGGGTTATAACATTTGATTTATGAACATAATTAAAATATAAATGATGAGCTTTGGGCTATTCAGTCAGCCATCTGGATTGTGCAGGATTTTGACATACTCCCATTGTAGTCAGGATCTTCCTGGGAAAATTTAACCTCCCTGAGTTCTAGAGGTGCCAGTGGAATCCCAGGGTGTCTGGGCCACCTGTTGAGCGTAGATGGGTTCCTCTTTCGGGGCAAAAGAAGGGGATGGATCTTGGCACATAGATCACCTGTGTGGTTCGTGGGCTGGGTATGAAGATGGCTCAGCTGCCCCACAGTCAGATAATATGCATATAAATACTGCAGGTGTCAATAGAGGAGGACATTTTTCTGTATAATACAAACAAGATTAATGTTTACCTTCTCAGCCAGCTATTAAGGTAATTGGCAGCGGTACCCCTGAGTAGATGGTAGATGTTTCTCCAGGAACCTGAGGAGTAAATTGAGAAAATCCGTTATCAAAATTGAAGGTGCATTTTCTATGGCTTAGTAGGATTTTTTTTTAAATATAAGTTCCAGGTACAGCAGATCCTTAGCTTGCTCTTCCTAATTTCTGTGAGTAATTGGCAACTGGGAAACAGCCATTAGTAACATAAAAAAAGCATTTAACTAGAAGTCTGTGGTACTGAAGAGAGGCATGAGTGGATTAGATTTTCAACACTCTCTTTATTATTAATGGAAGTTGAGCACGTAAAACCCTTAGTGCACTGTGCTGAAAAATATACCCTCTCTGTTTGCTTGTAAATTACACGAGGGGGAGAAAAAAAACAAAAAAACCTTCCACATAGGCCAGCAGGCGTCCTGCTTCTCCGTAATTAATGGGCGGAAGTCAGCAGAGCATGGAAAATGTAGTCCTTCTGTGGATCAGAGATTAACCTATAAGCAAATGTTACATTTCAGCCCAGATTTTGGGCTTTAAATTTAGCCTCACCCAGAATGGTTCCTAGGTAAGAATGACAGAGGTTTCCTGACCAGGAACCCCATTGAGTGCTCCTGTTTCTGAATGTGAAATTTAAGGGAGCGGGTCTGGCTGTTGGTGTTTTCAGTAACATAACCTTCTCCCGTTGCTTGCTTTATTTACTTACTTACTTATTTAATTATTTGTATCTTGTGTTTGTAATAAACTTCACCAGCCAGCTCTGTGTTGATGTGTTATACCACCAAAAATAATAGACTCGAGTATGTCACCCAATGGTTGTATTTAGCGTAAGCTATAGTCTAGAGCTCTCCAAGGAGGGTGGCCCACAGCTCTTGCTTCTACCCAGCAAGCCAGTCCTCATTCAAGGTCATCGTGTTTATCCTGTCTGTTTCTGCCTCTCTTTAGTGATGACTTTCCCAACCCATGACCAGTCCCTGGACACCTCCATGCCATTTTGCTCTCAAACGTTCCCTTTGCCAGCAAGTCCAAGAATAGAACTGTGTTACTTTGCAAGGGTCAGCTGGAGCTTTCGGGCCTGTTAACTTATGTCCCTTGGGCAACTGGCTTAGCTTCCCAGCAAGGGTTACCCATTCACAGTGTGCAGTGCACACTGGTGAACAAGAAGACGCTCCTGAAAGGTTTTGAATGCCGCGCGGTTTTCAGAGACAGAAAGATCTGTGATGAGAGCGAGACTGTACCAATGTGTCTGGAAGGCAGCTGTCTCCCGAGAGGACCCCTTCGTGCAGCTTGTTTTAGCCGCGTACAGGTTGAGATCAGTTGAGCCCTGCCATATTTCTGATTTCCTTCTCAGTCCATAGGATGAATGTTAATGAGCTAAGCACTGCTTGTAAAAGGCCAAGGGGCTGTTGTTTAGGTGGTGTGATTGTCTGAGAAAGTAAAGTTATGGAAATTGTTTTGACCTTTCAGCCAAGTGATGTCTTGCCCTCTCACATTTGTTACTCTTGGGTACGTTTCCAAAAATACACATTTATAGAGCCGCTGCATTAAACGAGAAAACTGATTTAGGGATTAATAGCTTGTTAGTTCAGCAGAGAAAAAAAAAAAGTCTCCCAATTCCTTTCAGGTTTTATTTGTAAATGTATTTGTATGTGTTTCTAAGTTAATCCCAATCCCTTCTGGTTCCCTCCCTATGCCCCACACCTCCCACCATTCATCCCTTGGACCCAAACCCCCGCAAACTCCAAACATGGGTTTTAAGTAGCCAGTGGATATAATAAGAACCCCTGTGTCACTTGGCTAAGTACTTGACTGCCTTCAGAAGCTGTACTTGGTTTTAATTATGGATTGCCACTGGGAAATATACTTTTGAACCAGAAATCCCAACATTCGCAGGGCTGCCTCTCGTTAAGTTATCTCCGTGACCTTGGACTGGCTACTTCATCCTCTGAGTGTCAGTGTTCTGATCCCTAAAACTGGGCTTATTCCGCCACCAATGACAGTTCCTACCAGAGCCAGGCCCTCAGTACCTGTCTGCTTCCTTCCTTCTCGTGTATAGACATTGAGACATCAAAGAGTTTCGTTGGGACCACCAGAACCTCCCATTTCTGTATTCTCAAAGCCATTTGAGTGGAATTCAGAAGTTTAGCCTTTCCCATTTGAAATCTAGAGCATGGAAGAGGCAAACTTATTAATATGCCTTGTCACAGCATATTGTCACATAGTAATATATGATACATGATAAAATGTATCAATTCTGAGCACCACAAATATCTGTGGCTTCACCTCAGCATGAAGGCAAATGAATTTCCTTTAGCTTGAGTGAGTTTGGAGATAAACTTCAATGTAACAAAATGTATTTCACAGGAAATGTTTGATGTGGCGCAGTTAGCTTATGAATCTCTTATCTGTTCGTGGTTCACTCCTTGGAGTTATTAGTCAATTTAATTTGAGCAAATGCCAGGATTACTAACTAATTGGGAGGCTGTTAGTGCAGGCATGAGGATGGGGAGAGAGGGAGTGGTATGGGTTTGTGGCAGCATGCAAGTCTGATTTTTTGCCTGATATCATTTGCTAAACATGGTACTTTGTGTTGTTGTCGCACAGATAAGCCTCAAGTGCATATTCAGATGACTTACCCTCTACAAGGCCTAACCCGGGAAGGGGATGCGCTCGAGTTAACATGCGAAGCCATCGGGAAGCCCCAGTAAGTTCTGAAGGCCAAGGTTGGCAGAGGGTCATGAGCAGTAAATGTCACAACACGGAAATGTGCGTTCACAAGTCACCAGCCTGTCACCTGTCTCCTGCTGTAAAGGATGAGAGATATTTCAAGCACTAAGGAATATTCAGTGAAAAGGGGAATAAATACCTGTGGTTGGGTTCTTAATGGTCAGGATTGGGAGAAAAATGAAATGCCAGCTAAGATTGAAATCTCAGCTAATTCTATTTTATTATCATCAACATGATTGTCAGAACTATCTTCTGTCACAAAAAAATAATCCTAATAATTTTTAGTATGCCCACAATCTCATGATGAATCTGCTACCTTCTGTGTTAATGTCCAAGCTGCTGGAAAGATGGTTTTCAGACTTAAATTAAGCCGCTGTGATTAGGGCCAGCCATTGGAAAATGAATTTGCCCTACCTTGAATTTTGCTTCTCCTTCCCTCAAAGAAAAGTGACTCCTAGAAATATTTTTGTTAGTAAGGAATGGTCCCAGAGCTTTTTCTCAAGGAATGTATGTACGCCATTGCAGAAGAGAAAGAACCTACTAACGCTCTTATTTTATGGAAAAGCACAAGGAAGCTGCTTCCCTGCCGAATGAATGAAAGTGAATTAGGGAAACCGCTGTATATCATCACTAATACAGGAAAAAAGCCATGTAGTGGGGCCGCTTTAGACGTCCATCCAGTTTCGCATGGGGAGAGGAGAGAATCTCCTCTTTCTAGGAGAGAGAAGATTGTCTTTAACCGTTTCTTACAGAAAAAACAATCCACGGAATCCTAAAATGGAACAAGTCAGTGTCGAGATAATAAGCCCTCAAACTTTGAGCGGTCCCCAGTAAAACAAAACAAAACAGCATTGAGCTCCCTCTGCTGTCCCTGTGGTATGATTTTTTTTCCCTCAAGAGTTTTTATTTTTATTTTTTATTTATTTATTTTTTAAAGATTTTTATTTATTTATTCACGAGAGACACAGAGAGAGAGAGGCAGAGTGAGAAGCAGGCTCCCAAGGAGCAGAGAGCCCAATGTGGAACTCGATCCCAGGACCCTGGGATCATGACCTGAGCTGAAGGCAGACGCTCAACCATCTGAGCCACCCAGGCGCCCTCCCTCAGAGTTTTTATTAACCAGCCTGACTATCACAGTTTTCATGCTCTGAGCATCTTAAGGAAGCTTCCCCGAGATCTCTGGAAAGCACTGTCCCCGTTACTGCTAAGGCGTGATCTCTGACTAGGGACCGGGGAGCCAGACGGAGGCTGCCATCCGCTCTCTCCCACTTCACCCTGTGTCGGGCTTCCCTCTCCTCGGACTAGAATCTGCTTCTGTCTGTCCTCACACCATGTGCAGCTTTAAAGATGACCTTTAGGAAGTAGGAGGCGGTCTTGGTTCTGTTTGGCTTTTCCTCTGGTGTTGCCAAGTTACTTGGTTTGAAACCCTTCAAGCTTTGGCGGAGCAATCTTTTTCTCCTTGGAACACGGCAAAAGATGCAGATCTTTCTTTTTGTCAACTGTTTGGACTATGCCCTGGTTAGTGGCTTACCTTGCTTGCCTCAAAAAAAAAGGAAAAAAAAAAAAATCCATTGGAGAAAAAGAAATTCTCCCAGACCCCTCGCCACTTGCAATACCTATATTCAGCCGTATTAACCACATTTACGGTATATGGCTTTGCTAAACTCTATTTTGTTTCTGTGGTTTTTTTCCCGTGAAGAAGGTACTGTGTTCAGTTGAATGTGCCACGGGGACAGTAAATTACATGTTTCCTTCAGGACATTTACGGCAGAGAGGGTATTTGTTCCTCTCAGATCGGAACGGGTGTATGGTTGTGTGAGCAAGCACACACTAGTCTGCTGCGATCCCTTCTAGCATATTACCTATTTATTTTCTCAAGAAATTGCATACAATAAAAATGGTAATTTAACTTGCCATTAAATGTTGTGAATATTCTCAGCACTTACCCCCACTGATTGTTTCAGCTGTCAAGCAGCAGGACATTAGATCTGATTGCTAGGCAGACCCATTTGCCATTGCCTGCAAGGAGCACATATGTAGGACTAATTTTTAAATAATTTACTGGGTTGTGATGACAAACCCATGTGTAATTAAAGAAAAATTGTAACTTCACATCCCATTTGAAAATTGGAATGCTACTCGACAGGGCTAACTTGGGTGTTCGCTTATCATTAAGCAATGGGTCTTTGGTCCTGTCGCTGCTCCTGGAGGTAGCCGTGGGGACGGACAGGAAGTTACTTCTGTGCCCGCGTCTCTGCTGCCCTTCTTTAAAATGAGAGTTTCAGGCACAATCATCCACGTGGCCCCAGTGTCACACGAGGTTGAGGGAGCCACCTTGGAGAACGCGCGTTTTAGATTCCATGAGTTTGAAAGATACTTGGTGCGTGTGCAATTTCGGCTCTGGAGCATCTTGTGAAATTTGCTTTTCCCTGATGGACACAAACGTGGTACTTTAAATCCCTAAAACAAACGTGCCTCTGAGCAAGTGCCATAAGGAGCCCATGTGGAGATGCGCCCCTCAGTGACTGACCCGGACCCAGAAGCCTTGCCCTTGAGCCGCAGGGCTTGCAGGTGCATGCAGAGAGGGAGAGGGTGACAGCATGTGGGACTCGGAGAGCCAGGAAAGCAAGGCATTTTGCAGAGGAACACATAGATAAGGTGGACTGGGTTGGGGGAGGCAGGTTATGGGTAGGGGTTAAGGGGAAAAGAAATGATTGCACATTTCCCGAATGAATAGAGGTGGTTTTTCCAACAGCAGAGGTCAAAAGAAAGCAGCATTCAGATGTGAAAGTCTGGGTTTTTTTTGTGAAACTTGAAATCCCTTTAAATATCACAAGCGGCTTCTAAAGCAAGAGTCTTGGTGTATTAGTAACCGTCAGAGTAATGCATGTATCACTAGCCAAGAATTTGCTGTTTTCCCCCTAATTAATGAGATGATTAACGATGGGTGAGCTCTGTCCTGTTTGAATTGGTGTGAAACCACACAGCAGGGCATAAAAATAGGGTGCATTGGTTTATTTACTGATTTGTTAAAGATGAATTGGAAATAATGAGACTCCTGCTTATGGTCTGTTGAAAGTTTTTCAACACCTGATAATGTTTTGGTTTTTCTTTTTTTTTTAAGGTCTATTCCAAACAGACTTAGGGGGGACTTCACAACTGTAATTTTGTGAACTTAAACATGTCCTTAATCGTGTCACCCTACATGTGACTCCTGTAATGTGTGGGTGGGAAGCCGATGCCCACGTCTTGGTGGGAGATAATGAAGCAGCCTGTGTTCGTCCTCTTTCCTCTGCAGGCCGGTGATGGTGACCTGGGTTAGAGTCGATGATGAAATGCCTCAGCATGCCGTCCTGTCCGGGCCCAACCTGTTCATCAATAACCTAAACAAAACAGATAATGGTACATACCGCTGTGAAGCCTCTAACATAGTGGGGAAAGCTCACTCGGATTATATGCTGTATGTTTACGGTACGTGGAAGCTAAACCGGTCTTCTACTAGACACATTTACTTGTAGCTGCTGCTTGTGATCCCCTCCCAGAGCTTTTGGTCCAGTTGAAAACCGAAAGCACGTTTGTTTTCTTCAAGAACTTAAAGAAGCCTGGCCTGAGGTAGACCCCAGTGTCTCCACCTGGGAGGGCAGTGACTTTTCTTCTCTCCCTCTAATCGTGGGGATTTCCCGCTAGATCACAGTACCTGGTCATGCTGAGCAGGCGAGCTATGTCCTCAGGCACGAGCAATGGAGATTATGTTAGAAATAATGACTGCAAAATTCAGCCTTACCAATTAATGACTATTTAGCTCAGAAAGTTTATTCCCAGTGGTATTTTCCTGTGATACCTCAGCTACCCTCTCTCCTGCTTTGATGAACAGAAGTATCCTATTTGCAGCATGAAGCTATAACATTCCCGAAGATGTTGCAAGCCGGTAAATACTTGGAGAAAAAATATAGGGTCCTTGGTAGCTACATAAACCACCACTAGCTACTCCCTTAGACACGAATGCATTTATTTTTAAATTTGTCTGTTTTCTTAATATCTTTTCACGGGACTATTAAAGCGTATATTATCATGAATTGCATTCTCTAACAAGCAAATATTTATTGAGCATCTACTACATGTCAGGCATTTTAGACTTTTTCCCATTTATATCTTAATGTCAGTTTTGCATCTGGTGAATATTCTCTGTTTAGTTGAGGAGTGCACTGCCTCTCTAGCCTTAGGATCACAGACTGAGTCTCTTCTGTCCAATCGAAGTCCCTAGGTTGGTTTTATACCAGGAAGCATAGTCATCAACTGACATGACACGGAATGAGTAACCACAGGCCTGAAAATTTCGGTATCTTATAAATATATGGATATGTGTGCACATTTCTTTCTTCCTGTTAGCCCTGTAAATTATCCAAGTATAAGTGTATGTGAATATACCCCTACACACATATAACCATACCTATGGAATATTGGCACCATTATATCTTAGAACCTGGCCACTTTCCTTTTGAAGAAAACAGGAGTCGGTGTTTTTTGAGGACAGAGAGGCATGTTTTATACCATATCTACTTGGATATTCAGATATAATCCTCATGATCTAATCCTGAGGTTTTAGGGGGGTTTTTTTTCCCCCTTTTAACATAATGCAGAATTATAGGATCATATCTACTCACCTGATTTGTAAACTTCTGAGATGTGTTTTCTGCATATGCTACCCATGTGGTCTGTGCCCTACACATGTAAGAGCATTAATTCTCCCCAGTGGTTGAGGAGATCCCAGCGAAGGGGACAGCAGTCCTGTGTAGGTGCCAGGGGGTGCCCCGGGCCCCCTTTTCAGTTGACATTACACAGCCACCCTGTGCCTCAGACTGTTCACGGTCTGCTGATGTCAGGGGCTGGAAGGTAAATCTCTCTCTGTATGTGAGGGCTTGAGCCTCCCACGAGCCCCCTCCATTGCTGCCCCCCAGGTTCACGGTGGGTAACAGCAGCAGCAAATTCCCACCAGTCTAGTGTGTGCTGCCTTGATCCAGAAGACTAAGTTATCTGGGAAAACAACTCTGCTTTATCATCCCTCCTGTTGCCACCTCTCAAGGCAAGAAACATTTTGTGGATTTGATGGACACAGATGTCTCTGAAACCTTTGGGACGCCAGCTTACGGCTAGCGTTTGTTGAGCGCTCACTATGGCCCTCTGTTGCACCTGCATGAGCACCTCGAGCCTCCCCAGGAACCCCAGGGCGTATGCATTATCCTCATCCCATGGTACGGATGACAGATGAAGCTTAGGAAGGTCACCTAAACTGCCCAAGTTCACAGGCTTACTATGTTTCCGAGCCATGACACTTCTGACTGCCGAGTCTACAGGGACATTTGTGTTTTACTTTGTAGGGCCTCTAATTCTCACTGCTTCCCAGTAGGACAGTTCCCTCCCATTTGGATTTCACTCGCTGAAACATAGCGACCTACCTGTTCCGACACACACACACACACACACACCCTCCCCAACCCACAATGGCACACGTACACTCGTCCAGGGAGACCTGCCTCCCTTAAGCTGTGCCGGTAACACTGTCTGGAATGGCAGCTAGGCCAGCCTGAGGTGTTGCTCGTCCGTTAATAAAATATTCTAGCAATTTGAGAGGATGGCGAGTAGATTTTCTTTTCAAAGGTGACTTATTGTACTACTTCAGTCACGTTAAAAGTACTTTATGAACCAAGCGTTAACGTGCCTTTAAAATGTTTAATTCTCTGGAAATAACTCCTAGACTTGGAGAATCTAGCTGGTTAGTGCCTGAGCCCCATTTGATTTTGTTCTTTGAGCCTCTGTGTGTCAGACACCGCTCATTAGCTCCAACTCTGTATTTTCTTAAATATGGCCTCACGTTGCTCTTATTGCTAGAAATGATCTGAGCAGCGAGGTTATACCTGTTAACAGAATCTAATTCATTCAGGTCACTTGAGCCAGATGTGAAGGACAACAGTTACCCCGGTAGTGATGAAAATAATTGAAAGTGTGTGATTTTCAAAAAACGAAAGGGACCAGTGACCTTTCTTCTGAAGTCTCTGCCCTTGTTAGTCTGGCCCACCCCTTGTTCATAATCGTATTTTCAAATCACATTTCAAAAATGGACCTTCCGTTCCCCTTTGATTGCATTGTGGATATCACACATTTGTGCCAGTATCTGAGAGATAGGTACAGAAATAGCATTAGAGTGTATCCGGGGAAGTCTCCCAGGCACAGATGTTCCTTTCCAGGGATAAATATTGTAATTGAACCAGAACAGAGAAACCACATTAGCTGCCCACATGCTAGGCAGCAGGCACCTCTCTGGGTACAGTTGAGTTGGGCAGGAGAGGGCACAGGATGCCTTCAGAGCTTGGCTCGGGGGCCCTTGCCCCTCGCTCGGCTGTGTCTGTCCCAGCACCTGTGGCAAGGTGTGGGTGCGGCCACGTGATCTGCCAGGTCCCAGACTGCGTCCTCACCTGGGGCCTCCATGAGGAAGTGGCCAGGAAGCAAGACTGAACACACTGCCTGTTCGTCTAAAAAGGTGGTTTGAAATTACTTATTTAATCATTTCTGCTTCTTGGCAGACAGTGGGGTTTGTGTGTGTGTGTGTGGTTTTTTGTTTTTGTTTCTGTTTTTATTTTTGTTGTTTTTGTTTGAATTCCTTTTTGAGCTCCTGGTGAGGCTGCTTTAAATCGCTCGTGTCCACAACTTAAACGAGCACAGTCTCCTGTAAGACAGAACAATTTGCTGCTGATTCTTCTCCATCACATTCATACACTGTGCATGCGTGAGAGAAGCTGGCTAGGAAAATTAAAATCTCGGATTATTGATCGATAGTAGGAATCATCTCAAGCAAACCTTACAACCAGGCACCAAAATAGTGTTTTCGTAAACTTTCAGGAAGTTGTACGAAAGCCAATGAAGGTACAGTATATAATTAAAGTTTTGATGTATTAATTAGACAATCTGAGAGCTCACTTGGAGATAAAAGGACACCAGATGTGTCAGGGAGAAAAAGTTGACGTGCTTTAGATAAAATTTAAAATCAAAAGCCTTCAAATCGTCTTATGCTCTATTATAGCAGGATGATTGCTTAGTTCAAAGTCTTGCTGACAATTTAACACATTCAGTTTGATCATTTGGGCTCAGGATTTTCTTTTTTTCTCTTTCATATTTGCCCTTCCCTTGTCCCCCAAATAATTTCTGAGATGATAGAAGAATATACAATATATCATACATCTGACGGAGGGTCCCTCTGGGATTCCTGGCTTGGAGGGTCAAGCCCCATTTATATTTCGTCCTCTTGTTTCCAAGATGGAAGGCAGGCTTTTGGTCTTATCACCGCCATCCACTTAGGTCAGGCTTTTAACGTGAGCAAAGGCAACTGACGTATTAATATTTATAAGTTGTAAAATTTATTGACTTAAAAAAAATCAAATCTCAGTAAAATCTCACATGCCTGGAACTTGATATTTAGTGGTGACATTCTCTCTTCTTTGTATTTATTACGAGCATAGAAGTAGTTTCACTTCCCGCTGGGATGTATTGATGGGGAATAATGAAGTTACCCGTCATGGAGAGCAGGGATGCAAGAGCACACTCATCCTTGGCCGATAGGAGCCCTTTCGCTGGAGCAGCGTCCTCTCCTTCTCCTTTCTCCCATCCGAAAAATCATAAAACGAAATGCCTCTCGGGCGCGGAGCTGGTTTACCCTCACCTTTGAAATCAGATTGGGGTGGGGGTGTCCTATTTTGACTTTCCCCCCCTTCTCTCCCTCACATCTCCTCATCCCTACTTCACTTCATTAATACAAATCTCTTTTCCTCTTTTCTTAGCTTTTCCAACTAAGGTTTTGGGTTATGATTACAAGACACAGATCTTCGGCAGAGGGGGGCGGCGGGGAAGCTCTTGGTTTCGGAGGGGGGTGTCATCAAACAAACATCTCAGTGTCCTCATGCCTTTGTTTTGTCATTACTGATCATTGTTGTGCTCAGCATTGTGGGTTTGATTTTCCTTTTTTTTTTTATCCAGATCCCCCCACAACTATCCCTCCTCCCACAACAACCACCACCACCACCATCCTTACCATCATCACAGGTACGGTACCTTCATTCCCACCGAAAATGTCCTGAATGTATATTGTCTTTCTGGTATGGATGCAAAGACACCGAGAAGTTCCCTTGAAATCCTTGGAATGTAATTGTTCCTTCACTTTGGAGCTTCAGAGACATTAGATACCTTGTTCTTAAGTTGAACCTTAAGGACCTCGGGAAATCTTTGAACATCCAGGCACTTAACCAGGAGATTAGATATTTTGCAGCTTATGCTTAAGAGAGTTCTTTTTTAAGCATCACCGTTCAAAGCAGAATGCTAGGGAAAATGGCCGCCTGGCTGTTAGAGAACCTGCCGGGAGCTTAGGCTTAGCCACGGTTGATGAAATGGTAAGTATTCTGGCTTTGGATCTTCTCGTTGTCTTAATTCCATCTTAATTCATATGAAGGAAAATGCACACCCTTTAACAGGCCCAGGTGGGCCATGTTTCGAAAGGCATCGCCATTCTTCCTGCCCCAGAGAGTACCCAGAGTGTTACTACCTGTGTGTGTTGCCGGGGTCAGGAGATCAGAGAGAGTCCCTGTCTTCTCCATGCTGCGCACTCATGTACCCCCCTGGTGCCGTCAGTTAAATACTATGGGTGTGGAAGAGTCAGCCACAGCAGTTGTAACTGTGTGGCTTTATCTTTTTTGGACTGTCTGAAACTCTTCTTCAAAATGAGTTTCACTGTCTCTGATTTCTATCACTGAGGGAGGAGGGATGCCATCCATCCCCTTGCTGGTACCCAGTGGCCCTCATACCGCTTGACGTTGCTTGCCTGGGAGCCTTGGAACGTCCTCTGCCTGGGAAAAGGTTATGGTTGCACCATGTCTACTAGACGTGCAGGATTTCCTTAGGTAAGGCCTTCCCCAACCACTGTGTACAGGTTCCGACCCCAGAACATGTAAGAGTAATCATTCCATGAGGAAGAAAACCAATTTTCTTTAAAAGATAACTTTCCCGCTTCATTAGGTTATCCCAGGAGACTGCAAGATCTCTCTGAGCTCCACGCCCCAGGATACAGGACTTCTTTTAAAACTCTGAATATCTAACTCATCATTCTTTGTGTGTAGACCCTCTTTATCGCCCTAGATAGGACACCTGTCCTTTACACTGACTTTCTGGAGATATTCTTGGTTTTCACAGGAGTCAGTGAGACAGGCATGACGAACATCCAGAGTGTTCCGTGGAAGAGGAGGTTTATGAAATAGGAAAGTAGATCCCCTAGTCTCCGTTTTCTTCACCTTTCTAACCCATCACAGTGAGGCCAAGAGAACCTCAGAAAAAGGCAGTAGTGAGGATTTTTCTGACCGCTGTTGATGAAAACATCAGTGCCTGCACTTAAGGTCTTCTGAAAATCCATCAATTGGCTGTTGTGTCTCTAAACTCTGCTCTGTCCAGGCTGCTTCCTAAATCCTTGTCTGTGTGTATTTCTGTTTCAGTTCTGCTAGTTCCTTCTGCTGCTTAAGTAGAAGCTTGTTAGTGTAGTACGCAGACTCCTCCCACTTTCCGCCTCATTGCTAAGCTGAGCGAAGATGCTCCTTCCTATCTGATTCCGGGTCAGCCACACTCCCCACTTTCCGTACCAGGAGCTAGGTTTTTAGGTTTCATGATTTCTTGCCGCTTACCCAGCTGTAAATGTATTAGGCTTGAGCTCTCAACAGTAGGTTTCCATGAAATTTCCTGTGAATGGCCCTTTGGGTGTCCGTGTGAATTACACCTCCATCCCCCACTGCCCTTTGCAGGTAGTCGGTTCGTTTTTGCAGAAGGGGCCCAGGGATGAGCCAGCCCTTACTACCTCTCATTCTAGAGGGTTCCGTCTCGGTGGCTGTAGCTAGCCAGGTCTATATTTTAAGGCAGGGGAGGCCTTTCTCACTCTGTAGAAACACCCCATTTCTCCACAACATGGAACATTTTTCATCTGTGGCTGGCCTCGCACTAGCTCAGGCTGGTTTTTGTTTTGTGTTGTTTTTAAGACCTTTCATAGCCCCCCCGAACTCCTCCCCCCTCACTCTCCGCAACACAGCAGAGGCCCCCGCTCACAGCTTTCAGCCTTCACCCCCACCGAAAGCTTCTTTGTGTCCTCAGACAGCTACAACTCACTGTTACCACTGTTCCAACCCCAGAGACTCCATTTTTTTTTTTTTTTTAAAGATTTTATTTATTTATTTGACAGAGAGAGACACAGCGAGAGAGGGAACACAAGCGGGGGAGTGGGAGAGGGAGAAGCAGGCTTCCTGCAGAGCGGAAAGCCCGATGCGGGGCTCGATCCCAGGACCCCGGGATCATGACCTGAGCCGAAGGCAGACGCTTAACGACTGAGCCACCCAGGCGCCCCCAGAGACTCCATTTAAGAGGAAATTTTCAAAACAAACAATGCTGTATTTCTGTCCATATCGAAGGTGCCTTTAAGTAGGGGCTTGTCTTGGCTTCTGTCTCTCTGCTCCTGGCCTCGAGGCTCCAGGCGATGTACGATGAGCTCCCAGATGCACGGTAGCCTTTCAGCACCAGCACTTGAACCCTGTCCACACACAGACATCTGTGGCCGTGAACACCTGATTCTCACTGGCACACCCAAGAGTAGTTAAAGTAAAATTGCCACTAAAGCAACATTGTAGGATCCGTTGCCTTAACGGATATGATCTTCTAGGCTTGCTGTGTCTTAACAAGCAGCCTTCCATATATTTATCTTGCCTAGAAAGTACACTCGTGGATTTTAACATTTGCTTCTTACTTCAAACAGATTAAAGGTTATGGAGCTGAATGATCCTGTGTCCCGTTTTAAAGGTCCAGGCTATCCCTGAGATTTAGATTGGTTCCTAAAAAATCTTCCAGACTGAATCTTGACAAATGGATAGCTAAATTTCCACTCTTCTTCTTTCTTGCACCACATTACAGCCACCGTTAGCCTTAAAAGCTGCAACAGCTAAATCCAGTGACAGTAACATAAAGCCTGAGCTTTTTAAAAAAAAAAAAAAGGAAGAAAGAAAAAAAGAAAAAGAAGCAGCCCACAGTCTTCCATTTCTTTTCTCCCACTCAGATGCAGTAACTGAAACCCATTCCCCAGGTCAGAGTTTCATTACAAGGAAATGCACAAAAGCAATAGAAGAATATTTCTAAACTCGAAAGGTCATAGTTGATTTCTGATTTCTCTGAAAGGAAGTGCTCCAGCGTTCCCTTTTATCTTCTGTAACCAGGTAATCAAATTGTTCCCCTTGTTAGACAGGCAGACCGTCATTGAGTCCTCAGTCGCCCGACTCCCTCAAAAACAGGTTAAAGTTTCGTCCTGGAGACCCTCGAAAGGAAGAAACCGAGAGCCCAGGCTGACGTGATGTTGCCATCGAGAATCCTAGACCTGATGGGTGGGAGGAGCCGGCAGCTCTGTCTCTCATCCCACGAGCGTGGAGCAGGGCTCCTGACCTTCGTGTGAGGGCACACACACGTCTAGCGGTAGCTTGATCTAGAGGGGGAGTTTTTGAAGGCTCTGGAGTACTGAAAGGAATATTTGATGTCAACTTGCCCCGTCAACCTTGTTGCAGCTTTGCAGCCATTAGGCCGTTAATTCATTAGAATCTCTTTCTAAGTTAAAAAAGAAAAAACCAACCATTGGAGGGATGGAATTGAAATGGGAGCCATCCAGAGCCTCACTGTGATTTGCCATGAGCTTCTTGGGGGTCTCTTCCATCTCATGCACACTGGTATTCTGATCAGGTACCTCTGTTACAATTAGGGCAATTGGCAACCGCCTGCTTTTTTTTTTTTTTTTTTTTAAATCACATCAAGTTGTCCATGTGGTCTCATTCACAAAGAAATATGCTGTGATATTGAAGAGCAAACCACATCACCCAAATTGTCCCTGGAGCCCTCTGAAAATATAGAGCCGGCCAAACCACCCCCTGGGCTCCGAGTCCTTCATGCAGATTCTGCTCCAAAATCAGAACCTTTGCAAAGGGAAACCTACGGGGGGGATTTCTTTTGTTTGTTTTGTGTTTGGAATTTTCTTTGAAGTTAGTTGACTTCAGGTATGAGGTATAGATAAAATTACCTGTTTCTGGGCCGGTAGCTTTAGCCCCTGCCTGACACTTGGATCCAACTTCTTCCTCTAGTCATCTTAGGAAAATAGTTGGTGTTTCCCTCCCTAGATCACATGGGTATTGTATTGTTTCTGCTCTGTTGTGTCCTGCCTTAGCTGCTTGACGAGGAGTCTACCTTAGAAAGCACCACAGCACTCAGTTATAAACACCCTCAGCAGCTTCAGTAGGAAATTCAGGCCGGGGTGGGGGTGGGGGAGGGTTCAACCTGTGGGTCACTGTGCATGTGACTGTCATAAATTAAAACATTAATATCACTTTAGAATAAGAAATGAATAGCTATAGGGCCAAATCCTGGAACACATTTAAAAATCCTTTCACGGGAATGAAATAGATCGTTTCTAAATGAGTTTTTTCTCTTTTTTAAAGTATGTATCCAATTAATTATTTTGTGTTTCTTGGAAAAGAAAGCAGCACTGTTCTCCTTGGTATCTAAGCTCTCCGAACCCAGTGTACCTTGGAGAAAGTGAGCCCCACCCCCAGGCCCACATTGTTACTTTGGCTTTCATAGTCTGAAATCCTAAGCCGTTGTGTGTGTAAAGTGTATCCAATCCCATAAACGTGAGTGCAGTCCTTCTCCTTCAGAGATCCTCACAGAGTATGCCAAGTGCGGGAAGCCCAACACCGTGGCACGTGTTTTCAGTTTCTTAAATACAGAGGAAAGAGGGACATCTGTGCTTACGGCAGCCTGTAACGGGACCACTGACATGACAGTCGAGAGCCTGGCTTTACCTAAAGCCACTCTTCAGGCATTCATTCAACAAACACCAAGCCCCCATAATACGTAAAGCATTATGTTAGGGCCTGTGGAGACAGAAAATTCCTTGAGCCCCTTAAAATGTGGTAGAGGGACTGGGTTCTCCACACTAGAGCCCAAGAGCAGGAGGTCCTCTGCAGTGAGGGCTGACCTTGTGGCCAGGGCAGGACCGGGGAGAGCATCAGAGGAGAAGTAGTTTGGTCTGCCGTCAAGGAATGCGTGGAATGTGGGTAAGAAAGGACGGCGTTTTAGA